GCAAGTCAACGGGGAGGTCAGATTCACTTAAAAGCCAGGTAAGTAACTTATGATTTGCTTAACCACTGTGGCAAGAAAGATCATAATAATGGTGCAAAACTCACTCAATGTCTCATTTAACAGCAGAAATGTTGGGTTCCACTGTGGTTGTAAGTTGAGGACTACCTGTATATAGGATCATCCTCATTTAACGACCGCATAATCCCTTGCGAGGTGGAGCCTGGGAAACTGAATGGAGCTGAGTGATTAATGGCCGGATGCCCTTTCTGTCGCCGATGCAGAGTTTTCTTTCAGCAGATACATTCTTATCATGCCCAGAGAGAGAAATATCTGCCTCTGCCCAGGATTGAACCCACAGCCTCCCGACTGTGAGGCGAGAGCTCCATCTCTAGGCCACTGCACCAGTCATACCTACATATAAGAGACAAAGGCGGGGGAGTATACCTTCGAACCCATATCTTATGTCCAACAGTTTTAGCATGAAAGCATAACACACACAGGTGGATTCACACAACACACCGAGACATCAAATAGCTGCATCCTTCCTTCCCTGTCACAGTAGCCGGTGTTTTTTCTGCTTCATCTGCAAATGCGTTGCTTGGGAACCGTGCTGAGCCTAATGCTTCCTTTGTTTATCCACAAATTTTTCTTCTACCTCTGTGGCTCAGCTGAGCTCTGAAAATCTTCTGAATAACAAATGCACAACCTGGGTATCCATCTTGCCTCACAGGACACGCTTTTTCATCCAGCGACCTGCTAACGTAAGCTTCATGGGATGCGATTTCTTTCCTGCGCCCAGGAAAAGAAACACGGTGAAGCAGAAGGCATGCCCTTCTGGGTGGAACATTCTTAACCACATTCATTTTGTAAATGTGTTTTGTATCCTTCCATTCCCCACCATCCAGTCAGAGCTGAAGAAGCTCCTGGCATGAGAAGTGAAACATCTTCAAAGAAAAACCCGAAAGTCCAGTTGCCTCTTCAATTAGAATTAGAATTAGGAATAGGAATGATAGGGATAGGGATAGGGATAGGAATAGGAATAGGAATAGGAATAGGAATAGGAATAGGAATAGGAATAGGAATAGGAATAGG